AGATCCAAGAGCCAGTGTACCCAGTGGTAAGAGTGGGACCATCCAAACTACAACTCCTCAGATTCATAAGGCAAACTCAGTGAGCACCAAAGCCCCACTGAAGCAAGTTTATCCTCATAAAGGTGTCTTTAGCACAGTTCTCCCATTATAGACACAGCTGATCCTCACAGCCAATTGGCCTGGAGGACAATTCCTCCCAGTGATACCAACATCAAGGCTTAACTACAACAAGACTGTGCACTAAGCCCAAAAAGGGGTGCACCAAGAGAGTCCAACTCAGGTAACTGGGGATACTGAGCCACTGGGCCCTATAAGACATCTAGCACACAAAGCCACTCTATCAACTCAGGGAAGCAGCCAAAATGCAAAGACAAAGAAACAGGTTACAAATGACAGAAATGGAGGAAAACAAACTACTGGATATAGAGTTCAAAACCACGATTATAAGGTTTTTCAAGAATTTTCTAGAAAAAGTTGGTAAATTTAGTGAGACCCTTGAGGATATGAAAAAGGACCAACTAGAGATTAAGCATACGCTGACTAAAATAAAAATAAAAAATAATATACAGAGATCCAATAGCAGACTAGAGGAACTCAAGAATCAAGTCAAAGATTTGAAATACAAAGAAGCAAAAAACACCCAACCAGAAAAGAAAAAAGAAAAAAAGAATCCTAAATTATGAAGATAGTGTAAGGAGCCTCTGGGACAACTTCACACATACCAACATCTGAATTATGGGGGTGCCTGAAGAAGAGATAGGGCAACCTATTTGAAGAAATAATGACTGAAAACTTCTCTCACCTGGTAAAAGCAATAGACTTACAAGTACATGAAGCGCAATGAACCTGAAACAAAAGGAATCCAAAGAGGACCACACCAAGACAAATCATAATTAAAATGCCAATAGCAAAAGACAAAGAATATTAAAAGCAGCAAGAAAAAAACAGTTAGTTACATACAAGGGAACACCCATGTGATTTCCAGCTGATTTTTCAACAGACACTATGCAGGCCAGACACGAGTGGCAAGAAATATTCAAAGTGATGAATAGCAAGAATCTACAACCAAGATTACTCTACCCAGCAAAGCTATCATTCAGAATTGAAGGTCAGATAAAGAGCTTCACAGATAAAAAGCTAAAGGAGTTCATTACCACCAAACCAGTATTATATGAAATGCTGAAAGGTATTTTGTAAGAAGAAGAAGAAAAAGATAAAATTTATGAACAACAAATACATATCTATCAACAAGTGAATCTAAAAATCAAGTGAATAAAAAATCTGATGAACAGAATAATCTGGTGAATATAATAGAATCAGGGGCATAGAAAAGGTGTGGCTGACAATCCTTTGGGGGAAAAGGGTGGTGGGGGGAGGTTGTGAGAAGAGACTGGACAAAAATCATACACCTATGGTTAAGGACAGTGGGAGGAGGGGGGTAAGGGTATAGGGTAGGGTGGGAACCAGGTAGAGAGGAGCTATGGGGAGAAAAAGGGGAAACAACTGTAATAATCTGAATAATAAAGATTTAAAAGAAAATAAAGTGTCCTTTAACAGAAAGATGATACTATTATGGGGGAAAATTTTTTAAATATCATTCAAGAGTAACTAATATAATTGTTCATTAAGATTTTTTTTGTACACTTTAATTCTTTCAGCAATGCTAAAACAGTGGCATATTATACCTCCCTTCATTAATTAAAAGTACAGGGTTACAAATGAAATTCTCAAGAAAAATTTCGATTCTAATGGCTGTTGAAAATCCATTTTCAGTGAATCTTCTACCATGAGGGATATGCTAAAATTAATCACCCTACCAGGGTTAGCTCTAAACATCACAGGTGTGAGTATGATTTGCTCCAGGCAGAATGATTCCTAAAGCTAAGACTTAGCTTTCATTGCCAACATCTCTGGAATTAACTTTCTCTAGATTGCCAAAATTCAAGTAACAAGGTGTTCAGTTCTCTCTCTTTCTGCAGCTATTTTTAAGTGAAAGTACTATTCTCATTCTTACTTCCATTCATTTCTTAACCCATGGAAATCAAGCTTAATTTTGTAGCAGTGCCTGTTAGCTATGTGAGCTCTGTGCAGCCTCTCCATTTATACTGCTTCACACATCACTCACAGGACAAGTTCCCACAAAGACCTGTTTTGTTCCACTGTCAATCCACCTAAAGAAACCAGTTTAAAACTATGCGCAGCTTTGTAAATCAAGATGAACTAGTCAGAAATTGGATACAGAAACAAACAAGAAACCAAGTAATGCTTCCTAGTTAACAAGCAGAGTGCTATGTATAATCAAATTTCAGGTAATGAATCACTCTGCATTCTAAGCATATTCTAATTAGAAAGTTTATACCTTATTCATATTGTAATCATAGTCAAGTCATTATCTTGTTCCCATTGCTAGAGTTATGAAAATATAATTAAAGTTTTTAGTAGGATACTGTAGGCAACAGAAGCATGGAGAATAAATGATGAAATGTGAACGTTGGTTCTGGAGACTCCTTAGCAAGCCTTGTAGGAGATAACTAAGTATCAAGGTTGCTCAGAAGAGGAGTTTGATATCAAGCACAGATTTCCTTCTTTTGGGCAGTAATTAGCAGACCAGTAAGAAGAAATATAATGGCATGCAGAATTTATTTCCTCAGGGACTCTCCATCTAGGTCAGGAAGAAAGGAATACTCATACACAATTCATAAGTAACAGAATTACGCTTTTCAACACAGAGTTAAATTGAAACAATATATTCAGACCTTAATTTATGGTGTTTGAAAATATCCTATGAAATATTTTCTCTTTGGGTAAATCTTTTGTAAAATTATTTTACCTTCTTGTTTAGAACTTTGAAGAATAGCAAGCCTTGTTCAGAAGTTTTGTTTCAGATGATCACTAAATGTTGTACTTTTAACTCAGTATCAAATAAAAATAACCTTCCAGCCCTGACTGATTTGGCTCAGTGGATATGAGAAGTCTAAAAAGAGCTAATTCCAATGTAACCCTGATATTTGGGGCTAGAGATCTGAATTCAAGCCAGCAACTCAGTGTACAGTCCTGATAACCTATAATTAAGTCCCTCTCCCCTTCCCAGATACTCGTCTTGTGGAACCTGCTATTGTGAACAGTGCACTGCCCCGGAGGGAGGGCCAGGCCAGACCATCATATATGGCCTGGAGCTCCCCCACACCTGGGGGCCTTCTTACAAGGCCCTGGAAAAGGACCAGAAGCATAATCCATGCTTGTGGGACAAAGACCACAGGGAGGGAAGTATAAAGGAAAGCCCCATGCGTGTTCCTTCACTCATATTTGGAAGGCTGTTCCCTGAGTCCGCCGGTGTGTTAGTGCCCCTCCTTTTTCTTAGAAGCGTCTTTGGTTTTCTTTGGTCTTCTGCAACAAATAGAGCTTCAGATTGCAGACTGAAGGATCCCAGGTTCGATTCCAGTTAAGGGCATGTGCCTTGGTTGTGGGGAGTGTGCAGGAGGCAGCTGATCGATGTTTCTCTCTCATCAATTTTTCCCTTCCTCTCTGTAAAAAATAAAAAAATAAATATTTTAAAAAATAGCCTTCCAGAAATCTGCTTTTTTTGGTGATGCTTTGCTTTTTCCTCTTGAGAAACACAAAAAGGGCATAAAAGCAAAGAAAACATAAAATGTTCTCCATTCATTATTCCAATAATAGGCAAAAACCAGGCTTCCACCACAAGCAAAGTTAGAGAATTCTCAGAGTACTTAGTGAAAATATATAATGTAGTTTCTGAATCAGATGAACATGTTATCAAATATAAAACTTATGGAGAACACAACACATTAAAAAAATTTCCATCCTCCTTAATTCCCAATACACTTTGAAAAGAAAGTTATAATGAAAATAGGGTTTTCCCCCTCCTAAAGCCCTTTCCCACCTCTGATATTTACTGCACATGAGTATTTTCTGTCTTGAAGAAATAAGATTAGCAAGGTAACTTTTCTTTTAAAAATATATATTTTACTGATTTTTTACAGAGAGGAAGGAAGAGGGATAGAGAGTTAGAAACATTGATGAGAGAGAAACATAAATCAGCTGCCTCCTGTACACTCCCTACCGGGTATGTGCCCACAACCAAGGTACATGCCCTTGACCGGAATTGAACTTGGGACCCCTGAGTCCACAGGCCGATGTTCTATTCACTGAGCCAAACTGGTCAGGGCAAGCAAGGTAACTTTTCTGAAACATTTTTCTTTACATGAAAATACAGAAGGATTCAATTGAGTAATTAAATGTCTTCTTGCTTGCAACTGCTTCTTCCTAGCACTCCTTTCTCAAGTTTCATAGTCTCCGCTATAGACTGACAATTTAGAATGATCTCATTTCTAAATCTAATTTCTCATTTTTCAGTGGTAAAGTGTGAATTATCAAGAGTCTTAAAATGTGAATTAGGTTTCTTTATTATTACATTTTTATTGAGGTATAGCTTACATACAACAAAATGCACATAACTAACTGTACAGTTTGAGTTGTACACATCAGAATCAGTGGTGAGGACTTGCTCAAAATACTCCTGCAGATTAAAAAGTTTCTTAGATGATTCTGAGGAACACCAGTTAAGAATCTTTGCTTTTGTAAAGAAACAAATTGAGGAATGGACATAAAAATACATATAAAGCATTAACACAGATTACAGTTACATTGCTATTTTTAAAAATATTTTATTGATTTTTTTTACAGAGAGGAAGAGAGAGGGATAGAGGTTAGAAACATCCATAAGAGAGAATCATAGATAAGCTGCCTCTTGCACACCCCCTACTGGAAATGTGCCCATGACCAAGGTACATGCTTCTTGACCGGAATCGAACCTGGGACCTTTCAGTCAGCAGGCCGACGCTCTATCCACTGAGCCAAACTGGTTTCGGCATACGTTGCTGTTTTTAAAAATCTTAACTTTCTTGTGTGCCTTGTTCATGGAGTTTGCAATGCTAGCTCACAGATGAAATTCTCAATTTGCTTTTCTCTTTGTTTTTTAGAAAATTAATTCAAAACTTCATGATGGAGTATGTCAGCGCTGTAAAGAAGTTCTTGAATGGCGTGTAAAATACAGCAAATACAAACCATTGTCAAAGCCTAAAAAATGGTGAGTTAAGTTTATTAATTACCTTGCCAGTATCATATAACTTATTTCATTCCCTAATCTTCAAAATTATATTCAAATAAATATTAAGGTAAATAGAAAAAAATTCCATTCTCCCATGTAAAATTTTATTTTATATGCTGAATCCTGCTTTGTGAAGGCAAATAGATTGAAAAACTGGATTGATCATTCCCTGACCCATTCTTTCATACATAATAATGCACCATTTTTATAGACTTTTGTGCATAAAAGGAGGGTTAGGACAGAGAGGGGAATATTTGTTTTGCAAGTCTGCTTTTGACTGATGAGGTAACAATATTTACTATGGATCATGTTTACCAAGGGGGCCTTAAAACAGCTCTGACTTTTTAATGCAACCCATGAAGATTATTGAAATGGCTGAGCTGGAGTATCATAAGTAAACTGCCAAACTGATAACTTATAATTTCATTCCTTTGAATAGTTGGGTTTAAATGAAAAGATACTGGACTTTGTTTCTCATTCTTCTATCCCTCCGTCTTTTTTTTTTTTTTAATTTTTGGATTTTGTTTTATCAGCCTTATGTGCATCCTAGTGTGATACCTTATATCCTTTAGCTCAGCTGATTAAGGGCCACATTGGAGGGTAATTTCTGCCTAAAAGAGAAAAGTGATTATTTGAAATATAAACGTTAGCATTAATGTACGATCATGTTTTTACATTCTGAGTTTTTGTTTGGTAGTCTATGTAGTAGCTATTTAGAACACAGTTATGCATTGTTGCTTTATTTTCCTTTTGGTTTTTTAGTGGTAGTGGCAACTTCCCTAAATGTATTCTCTCTTCTTTCATGGGAGGAAGTTGTACTTAAAGTGGGGAAGGTTAGTCTAAAAAATAAACATGACATTGCTGTTTATTTTTATTAAAAAATTATGTCAGACGTTTTGTGAATCTATAACTTGGGAGTCAGGGAAGATCATGGGGATATTGCTACTGCCTGGGCAGTATGTGTAACCCAGAGGCCTTGAGAGACCTCGGCTAGGTCCAAGAGATGAGGACCTCAGGAGCAGCTCCACCCTGAGGCAGCTGAAGTTAGCCATAAATAGCTGGTGGTGAGTGTAAAATGAGGGAAATATAATGTATAAGTACCAAAATGCAGAGAACATGACATTAAGGCCTAAAGGAAGATCTCTAGAAATAAAGAAGCCTTAGGTATTGCAAAACAAATGATGGCTAATGAGAGACTAAGAAACTACTAGTCCAAACATGGTCCAAACGTGTTACTTAAGAGATCACCTGTCTGGCCTAGAACCTTATGAATTTCAGATTACACTGAATACGTGACACATGAGGCCTTTTAGAAAGCCCTGCTTTCAAACTCTAATCTAGCATTGAGAGTCTTGTAGAAAGGATAACTCATCTATATGCACCTTGCTTTCTCTACATAATAAGACTTGACCAACACTGTAAGGGATTTAAATGCAATGATGAAAGGTACTTGATGGGATGTGAAGGGGTCAAAATCCTGCCACCCTGAAGCTGCTTTTTGGGATGTTGATTTTTAAGCTGTTTACTAAGAAACAAAAGACCCGGAAAGATTCTTTGACCCTCCCCCCTTCCCTGCCCAAGAGTTTCAGACAAAGAACCCAGCCTCTGGAAGGAGATCTTAGGATACTCCCCTTAGCCCAACTTGAATTAAGTAGGGTAAACACGAGGACTTCAGGGAGGTGCCTGTCAGCTAGATACCCACTGTGCCCCATTGTGTCTGAGCCACCTCCACGGATTTTCCTGCCAGGCATGTTTTGTCATCCTCAACTACCTGTAAATTGCCCATTCTCACTTCTGAAATCTATTAACTCCTTGTCCAGAAATGTCTTACATACCAAATGTTGTCTTACTTGTCTTTGGAATTTTTATGGATCTATCATGTCTATATGAATTCCCCATGTGCGAATATGAAACTTTATTTTCTCCTGTTAATCTCTATGTTTTTAATTTGGTTATTAGTCAAACCAGAAGAATTTAGAAAGTGGGAGGAAAAGTATGTATATGTATTTTAGACTCCCTCTGAAACTTTAATCAAGCATAATCACTTACAAATTAAATTTTTCTATTGTTAGGATTTATACTTATTAAATCCTACCTTTAAAAAAACAAACATGTATTTAGAGAAACAATTTTTCATTCAGATACTGACATGCCTACAGACTTTTACAAATTTTACATTCAGATGCTGGTACCTACAGACTTCTGCTTTGTATTTCAGGTAACTAAGCAATCCTTTTCTCCTATTAGTTTACAAGTATGGTAGGCAAATACCTGAACCTGTGTTAGAATCTCTAACTGCTGCTTTTCTCTTCCTACCCATAAAAAAAAAAATAAGGTGCTAGCTAATGTTTAACATGACCATAGTAGTGGAAAAGAAAGGAGAAGCTGGAATAACACAGCAGCAGGCCCAAAACAGATTGGGGTCTGAGTTTAGACTTGGACCCATAAGTCCTCTATATCAGTAGTTCTCAAAAGGAAAAGGGGATTTTGACCCCAGGGACATTTGGGAATGTCTGGAGAAATTTTTTGTTGTCATGACTATAGGATCTGGGAGGGATGCTACTGGCATATAGTAGTGGGTAGAGGCCAGGGATGCTACCAAACATCCTACACCACACAGGACAGCCCCCATAACAAAGACCTATCCAACCCAACATGTCAATAATGTCTTGTTGAGAAACTGCTATGTACAAAACCAATGGGTACTCACAGGGCCAAGCCACTGAAGCGTCATATATTTAATACTAGTATACTGTGGGAGCTAAAAAATATTAATACTCTTCAACTCCTAAGTTTTTCTAGGCTGGACTAATAAAATTAACAGGGACAGATTAACAGGAGAAAAATCAAGGTTTTAATACATGTTCGTGGGGAATTCACATTGTCATGAAAATTCCAAAGAGAGTGAGGCAACTTTGGGTATATAAGATGTTTTGGGACAAAGGAGAAAAGGCAGGGGTGGGGGGAGGGAAGGGAGGTAGGAATGGAGTCTTAGATTTCAGGAGTGAGAATGGGCAATTTACAGATTGTTGAGGGAGAGCAGAACATCAGTGGCAGGACTATTCTTCCTGACTAGTGCCAGGGTGAAGATTCTTAAGGCGATTTAGCCAAGGTTCCCTTCTCAAAGCAGGTTTCTGTCTGCATCTCTTGGGCAGGAAAAGGGGGAGGGCCAAAGGTTCTTTCCAAGTCTTTTTTTTTTTTCTTAATAAACAGTTTAAAATCAATATGCCAAAAAGGCAGCTTCAGGGTGGCAAAACTTTTGTCCCTTCAATATCTTAGGTTAGTGTTTTTCAGACTTTGCAGCTATAGAATTCTTTTTTTTTTTTTTTTAATATGTTTTATTGATTTTACACAGAGAGGAATTGAGAGGGAGAGTTAGAAATGTCGATAAGAGAGAAACATCGACCAGCTACCTCTTGCACCGCCCCCACTGGTGATGTGCCCACAACCAAGGTACATGCCCTTGACCGGAATCGAACCCGGGACCTTTCACTCCGCAGGCCGATGCTCTATCCACTGAGCCAAACCGGTCCCGGCATATAGAATTCTTAAATAAAACAAAAGCTTGCCAGGAAGTTCATCAAATACAGCAGGCTAAAACAGAACTGTCCTGAATGGGGAGAAGGGAGATTAAATGCCACAAGAAGAATGTGGTTGAAAGTAGATTTCATCCTAAAAGTAATTCAGGTGAAGGAGGAAAGAACATGCCTTGGAACCAGCATTGCTCTAGGGATGTCTAGCCCACCATTTTCACAACATGTAGGTGCTTTCTGCCTAACACACTGCTTTTAATTACATCTTTTCATCAAACAAAGATACTCCTCCTGAGGACCTGGTCTTCGCATCCAGGTGTTTAGCCCTTTCTAACTAATAGTTTTAAATGTATTGCCTTTTAGTTTTTATTCCCATTGACTGCCCAAGGCAGCCCTGATCTCCTCATAGTTCATTGCATTAAATAAATAAATAAATAAATAATCTTCTATTCTCAGTTATTCTTAAACTAGAAGCCCAGTGCATGAGTTTGCGTACGAAATTTGTGCACTCAGGGGATAGGGGGGCGTGGTACTTCAGCCTGGCCTGTGCTCTCTCGCTGTCCGGGAGCCCCTTGATTGATCGCCCTATAGAGGAAGGCCTCACTGTAGCACCACCAGCTGAGTAGCCTGAGCCTCCTTCTGCAGGGCAATTGTGGAGTCTCCCCTTCCATTCCCTCTCCACCCCCCCGATTGATTGTCCTGTTGGCCAGTGTCCTGGGCCTCCCTATGCAGGGCAATCCTGGAGAGATGGCATCCCGCCCCCCAACCAATTGCATTGCATCTGCCTTGGCTGGCCTGTCGTCAGTACATGTCATAGCGTTGTCATCTGGACAGTGGTTCTGCTGTTTGGCTGTTTGGTCGATTTGCATATTATATATTATGCTTTTATTATTATAGATACCCCCAGTGGTCCGGAGTTTGAGCAAATGAATGCTGTTAAAAAGGCTTGTAGCACATAAATGTTTTAAGGCCTCCTATGGGGAAGAGTTGGGTTTCTAGCAGCAGGAGGGGAGCTTTGTTCCCAGAGAAGTCCTGCTTTTATGTCTACTGTAGTGAATGGGATAGTTGAGCCTGGGAAAACAGAAAATAATTCTATTGGTGTGAAAATGAGAGAGAGAGGTGATGAGATGTTGTTAACAAGTCCTGCCACTTGTTGTTAACAAGTCATACCTTTCTAACAATATGCTGGTTCCCTCTTTACTACAAAAGTTTCTCAATCAAATTAGCCAAACTCTGACCTTCAAGATAATCTTTTTTAGATTAGCCCTGTTCTTTTTAAAGTTAACTACTTATCTACTTTTCTGGTGGTAGTAAAAAACGTACAACATAAAATTTACTATCTTAATGATTTTTAAGTGTAGATAGTTCAGTAATGTTAAGAATATTCATGTTGCCAAAGCCAGTTTGGCTCAGTGGATAGATAGAGCGTCAGTCTGCGGCCTGAGG